GACCCTATGAATGACCCAATGCATGACCCTATGAATGATAAACCCTATGAATGACCCTATAAGTAATAGACCCTAAGATAGACCCCATCCATGACCCTATAGTAGACCTTATGAGTGATAGACCCTATGAATGACCCTATAAGTATGGGACCGTATGAATGACCCAATGCATTGACCCTATAATGGGCCCTATGAATGGCCCTATAAGTAAGGCACCCTATGTGTGATAAACCCTATGAATGACCCTATAAGTATGGGACTGTATGAATAACCCAATGCATGACCCTATAATGGATCCTATGAATGACTATAAGTAAGAGACCCTAAGATAGATCCCATGCATGACCCTATAATAGACCCTATGAGTGATAAACCTATGAATGGCCCTATAAGTAAGGCACCTTGTGTGTGATAAACCCTATGAATGACCCTATAAGTATGGGACTGTATGAATGACCCAATGCATGACCCTATAATGGGTCCTATGAATGACTCTATAAGTAAGGGACCCTAAGATAGACCCCATGCATGACCCTATAATAGACCCTATAAATGACCCTATAAGTAAGGGACACTATGATTGACAGACCACATGCATGACCCTATAATAGACCCTATGGATGACCCTATAAGTAATAAACCTAAGACAGACCCCATGCATGACCTTATAAGAGACCCTATGAATGATAGACCCTATGAATGACCCTATAAGTAAGGGACACTACAAATGATAGACCCAATGAATGACCCTATAAGTAAGGGACCCTAAGACAGACCCAATGCATGACCCTATAATAGACCCTATGAATGATACAGTCTATGAATAACCCTATAAGTATGGGGCCATATGAATGACCCTATAATGGGCCCTATAAATGACTATAAGGGACCCTAAGATATACCCCATGCATGACCTTATAATAGATAGACCCTATGAATGGCCCTATAAATAAGGGACCCTATGAATGATAGACCGAATGCATGACCCTATAATAGATCCTATAATAGTGATAGACCCTATGAATTACCCTATAAGTGAGGGGCCCTAAGATAGACCCTAGAATTGACCCTATGAGTGATAGACCCAATGCATGACCCTATAATAGACCCTAAGATAGACCCCATGCATAATCCTATAATAGACCCTATGAATGATAGGCCCAAAAAGTAATACAACCTGTGAATGAGAGACCCTATGAATGATAAACTAGATGCATGACCCTATGATTGACCCAATGCTTGACCCTATAATAGACCCTAAGAGTGATGGACCCAATGCATGACCCTATAATAGACCCTAGGAATGATAGACCCCATGCATGACCCTATAATAGACCCTAGGAATGATATACCCTATGAATGACCCTATAATAGACCCTAGGAATGATAGACCATATGAATGACCCTATAAGTAAGGGACCCTATGAAGATAGACCCCATGCGTGACCCTATAATAGACCCTAGGAATGATAGACCCCATACATGACCCTATAAGAGACCCTATGAATGACCCTATAAGTAAGGGACCCTACATGTGATAAACCCTATGAACGGCCCTATAAGTAATAGACTCTAAGATAGACCCCATGCATGACCTTATAGTAGACCCTATGAATGATAAACCTATGAATGACCCTGCAAGTAAGAGACTCTATGAATGATAGACCCCATGCATGACCCTATAATAGATCCTATGAGTTAGAGACCATATGAATGACCCTATAAGTAAGGGACCCTATGAAGATAGACCCCATACATGACCCTATAATAGACCCTAGGAATGATAGACCCCATACATGACCTTATAATAGTATGGGACCGTATGAATGACTCAGTGCATGACCCTATAATGGGCCTCATGAATAACTCTATAAGTAAGGGACCCTAAGATAGGCCCCATGCATGATCCTATAATAGATAGGCCCTATGAATGGCCCTATAAGTAAGGGACCCTATGAATGATAGACCCCATGCATGACCCTATAATAGATCCTATGAGTGATAGACCATATGAATGACCCTATAAGTAGGGGACCCTATGAAGATAGACCCCATGCATGACCCTATAATAGACCCTAGGAATGATAGACCCCATACATGACCCTATAATAGTATGGGACCATATGAATGACCCAATGCATGACCCTATAATGGGCCTCATGAATAACTCTATAAGTAAGGGACCCTAAGATAGACCCCATGCATGACCCTATAATAGATAGACCCTATGAATGGCCCTATAAGTAAGGGACCCTATGAATGATAGACTCAATGCATGACCCTATAATAGACCCTATGAATGACCCTATAAGTAATGGACTCTGAGATAGACCCCATGCATGACCCTATAATAGACCCTATGAGTGATAGATCCTAAAAGTAATACAACCTGTGAATGAGAGACCCTATGAATGATAAGCTAAATGCATGACCCTATGACTGACCCAATGCTTGACCCTATAATAGACCCTAAGAGTGATGGACCCAATGAGTGACCTTCAGAGTGATAGACTCTGTGTCTTCAGCACCTTGGAGAGCTGCTTGGATGGGGTGCTGATGGTCTGCTGGTGGTGCTTCCCTCGCAGGTCCTGGAGGGGCGGATGGGGGTCCCAGCGGGGTCCTCGGAAGCGGAAGAGGGGGACGATGGGCTTGCGTGGCCACTCGCGGAGACCGCTGCCCAACGGGTGCTCATGGTCGCCCTCCTGGGCTCCCCCCAGCACCTCCCGCCCAGGAGCAAGAAGGGCCTCTCCCGGGGGTGCTTCGGGGTCAAGCTGGACCGCATCGGGGCCCTGAGCGGATTGGGATGCTGAAGCTCACCTGGGAAAGGTAAGAACAACCACAGCTCCCATCGTCCACCATTAGGTTCCTTTTTTGGAACCACAGTTCCCATCATCCACTATTAGATTCCTTTTTGGGGGGTCACAGCTCTCATCGCCCACCATTATTAGATGTCTTAGTGGAGATCACAGTTCCCACCATACACTATTAGATGCCTTTTGGGATCACAGCTTCCATCATCCACCATTAGATGCCCTTCCAGATCAGGATTCCCATCATCCACCCTTAGATGTCCTTTCCAGATCATGATTCCCATCATCCGTTAGATGCCTTTTCCTATAACAGTTCCCATCATCCACCGTTAGATGCCTTTTCCAGATCACAGTTCCCATCATCCACAATTAGATGCCTTTTTAGATCACAGTTCCCATCATCCACTGTTAGATGCCTTTTCCTATAACAGTTCCCATCATCCACCCTTAGATGCCCTTTCCAGATCATGATTCCCATCATCCACCATTAGATGCGTTTTCCAGATCACAGTTCCCATCGTCCACCATTAGATGCCTTTTCCAATGACAGTTTCCATCATCCATTAGATGCTCTTTCTGGATCACAACTCCAATCATCCACCATTAGATGTCTTTTCCAGATCATAGTTCCCATCATCTACCATTAGATGTCTTTTCTGATCACAGTTCCCATCATCCATCATTAGATGCCTTTTCCAGATCACAGTTCCCATCGCCCACCATTAGATGCCTTTTCCGGATCACGATTCCCACCATCCACCATTAGATGTCCTTTCCAGATCACGATTCCCATCACCCATCATTAGATGCCCTTTTGGGATCACAGTTCCCATCATTCACTGTTAAGATACCTTTTTGCTGGAAATATATCAGGAATACAATATCTCCTTTTAATCTCTCTGTTTTTCCTTCCTCCGCAGAGTAACACTTTCGAGACGCCCATTGAGGCCACCAACACCTCCATTCATCCATTCATTCTGGATTTGCAGGAATTACACAGCAGGATAAATAAATGAGAGTTAAGCTGAAGTTACTTCTTTAGATCTTGGAGAAGTTACTCTGAGAATATCGACTCACTTGGACTCATGAAGTGATTCGGTTTCCCATTGGAGGTGGCTTCACCTTCCAGATGCATGTTTGTTCTCCCCGTTGTGAAAACTAACTCGTTACAAAGGGGTTTGGTGACTTGTAATTCATTATGGCACCGGGAAAAAGTGATGTGTCAAATAAATCTGTTTTCATAATTGTGTACCTTGTGTAACTTTACTCACACATTACTGACAATATACTCACACTTTACTCAATCTACTCTCAGTCTATTCAGTTTCGCTTTATTCAGTCTACTCACTCTTTACTCGCACATTACTTACAATTTACTCTCAGCCTACTCACACATTACCCATGCTTTACTCACAGTCTACCTGGAGTTGCCTCCAGGCTGATATGAGCAAGGTAGAAATAATGCGAATAAATTAAATACATACTCACTTTACTCAATCTACTCACACTTTACCCACACATTAGTCAGTCTTACACTTTATTCACTCTATTCACACTTTACTCAGTCCACTCATATACTGACAGAGGACTTGTTCTTCACTTACATTCTACTCACACATTACCGACAGTGAACAAAGTATGAGTAAAATGTGAGTAGACAGTAAGGTTTGAGTAAACTGAGCACATAATGAGTAACAGGTGAGTGACTGAGTAGACTGCGAGTAGTCTAAGTAGATTGAGTAAAGTAACATGTGAGTAAAGTGTGACTAGACTGAGAGTAAACCAAATGCAGTCTACTCATATACTGACAGAGGACTCATTCACTCACATTCTACTCACAGTGTATACTCACACTTTACTCAATCTACTTAGACTATTCGCAGTCTACTCAGTCACTCACTTGTTACTCATGATTTACTCAGTCTACTCACACCTTACTCTCTACTCACATTTTACTCATACTTTGTTCACATATTACTCACAGCTGAAGAAATCCATTTAGTTGAAAACCAATCCACTTGAGGACATTAGATATTGTTATTCTATTATTATTTAATATATGTATAATTATTATTAATGTTACTTACAATTAACTCTCAGCCTACTCACACATTACCCATTCTTTACTCACAGTCTACTTACACTTTATTCACTCTACTCACACTTTACTCAGTCTACTCATATACTGACAGAGGACGTTCTTCACTCACATTCTACTCACAGTGTATACTCACACTTTACTCAGTCCACTTAGATTACTCGCAGTCTACTCACTTGTTACTCATGATTTACTCAGTCTACTCACACCTTACTATCTACTCATAGTGTATACTCACACTTTACTCAATCCACTTAGACTACTCACAGTCTACTCAGTCACTCACTTGTTACTCATGATTTACTCAGTCTACTCACACCTTACTATCTACTCACATTTTACTCATACTTTGTTCACATATTACTCACACTTTATTCACACATTACTCACACTTAGAAGTAATATTAATAATAATGATGATAGTAATGATAATTCTTGTTAGTAGCTGAAGAAATCCATTTGAGGACATTAGATATTGTTGTTCTATTAGTATTATTTAACATATTTATTATTATTATTATTATTAATAGTAATAATAATAATAATAATAATAATATGAGAACGAATATCCAACGGAGCAAAGCATAACTGGGATGCATTTGGTCTGGACAATGCTTATCCCACATACGTTTGGAGACTCCTATAATCCAGTTCAGAGCAGACAGCCAACTGGGACCAGTTTCCTTCCTAATGGCTCCCATTAAAGCAGGCAGCCAATCTCACCGGGATGGAACCGGTTCCGCTGATGGCCGGCTGCGGCTGTATAAAGGCCGGCGGCCGGAGTCCGGAGCAGAAGCGGTCAAGATGACGAACACGCTGGGCCTGTGCTGCTGGACTTTCGTGCTGCTGGCCGTGCTGGGCTCGGGGTGGAGTGGCCCTCTGGCCGGGAGCCCCCCTGGGCAAGAGCTACAAGCCCTGCAGGTAAGGGAGGGACACCCGTGCCAACGCCATTCCCGTCATGAGGACTAGCACCTTTGCAAGGCTTGCATGGACAAGGCGCTGCTTCCATGGCCATGGCACGATGCTATGGCACATGGGAGTTGTAGTTTTGAAAAGACGCCAAACTACAACTCCCACCATTCCGACAGGGCACCGCTTTCACTGCCATGGCTCAATGCGACGGCACATGGGAGTTGTAGTTTGGCAAGGTAGGCAGACTTAGGATAAGCGGATAGGATAAGCTACGGATTCCCGGGATGCAAAGTTCGGACTGGAACCCAGGGCAGATAACGCAATTCCTGTAAAGTTTGGATTTAGATGCCAATGTAAAGCTCAGACTAAACGCCAGAGTGGATAGGAAGCAACTGAAAAAGCAAATGTACCCTATAAGCCAATGTAAGGTTCGGACTGAAAGCTGGAGCGGACAGGAAGCAATTGCACAAGCTTATGCATTCTAGAAGCCGATGTAAAGTTCTGACTTAAGGCCAGAACGGACAGGAAGCAACTGTAGGGGCAAATGCATCATTGAAGGAAATGTAAAGTTTGGACTAAAGACCGGAGCGGATAGGAAGCAACTGAAGAAGCATATGCATTCTAGAAGCAAATGTAAAGTTCTGACTTAAGACCAGAACAAATAGGAAGCATATGTAGAAGTAAATATATCCTAGAAGTGAATGTAAAGTTCGGACTAAATTCCGGAGCTGATAGGAAGTAACTGTAGAAGCAAATCCATTCCAGAAGCAAAGTTCAGACTAAAGGCCACAGCGGATAGGAAGCAACTGTAGGAGCAAACACATCATTGAAGGAAATGTAAAGTTCGGACTAACGTCCAGAGCGGATAGGAAGCAACTGTAGAAGCAAACGCATTCTAGAAGCAAAGTTCGGACTAAAGTCCGGAGCGGATAGGAGTCAACTGAAGCAAAGGCATCATTGAAGGAGATGTAAAGTTCGGACTAAAGTCCGGAGCGGATAGGAAGTATCTTTAGAAGCAGATGCATCTAGAAGCAAAGTTTGGACTAAAGTCTGGAGCAGATAGGAAGCAACTGTAGAAGCATATGAATTCTAGAAGCCAATGTAAAGTTCTGACTTGAGCCCAGAACATATAGGAAGCAATTGTAGAAGTAAATATATTCTAGAAGCACAAGTGAAGTTCGGACTAAAGTCCGGAGCGGATAGGAAGCAACAGTAGAAGTAAATGCATCACTGAAGGAGATGTAAAGTTCGGACTAAAGTCCGGAGCGAATAGGAAGCAACTGTAGATGACAATGACTTCTAGAAGCAAATGTTAAGCCCAGAGCTTTCAGAAATGGGAATCTCATGTTAAGTTTGGCCTAGAACCCAAAGCGGATAGGATTCTCGGGGATTCGCTTTCCTTCAGCAATGGGTGGATAATGGGAGTGGCAATTGGTCAAGACGGGGGCCGTAGAGTATCATCCGGTTTGGTCTTGCAGGACCTTTTGGCACGGCTGGAGGCGCATTTTGGCCAGGAGGAGACGGGCGCAGAGGCTGTTGAAGCGGACGCCTCGGAGCCGGACCCAAGCGACGACTTGGAGGAGGCCCTTCCTCCCAGCCTGATGGGAACTGTAGTCCCGCTGCCCGAGGCCGAGGCCCAATGGAGGCGGTTCTTCGCTTCGCCCAAAAGGAGGCGCTATTTTGCCGGGTGCTTTGGATCTCGGCTGGAACGGATCGGGACCCAGACCGGGCTCGGCTGCAACGTCTACAAACCCCGTAAGTCCATCACAACAACAACAACAACAATATAACAATGATGATGCTGTCCCTAATAATAATAATAATAATAATAATAATAATAATAGTGGACATAATAATAATATAGGATAATAATAATTATAGACACAATAATAGTAGAGTAATAATAATAATAATAATAATAATAATAATGGACATAATAATAATAATGGATAATAATAATAGACACAATAATATAGAATAATAATAATAATAATAATAATGGACACAATAATAAAGGATAATAATAATAGACACAATAATATAGTAGAATAATAACATAATAATAGACATAATAATAATATAGGATAATAATAGACACAATAATATAATAGAATAATAACATAATAATATTAATAATAAAGGACATAATAATAATATAGGATAATAATAATAGACACAATAATATAGTAGAATAATAACATAATAATATTATTAGTAATGGACATCATAATAATATAGGATAATAATAATAATAATAGACACAATAATATAGTAGAATAATAACATAATAATAAAGGACATAATAATATAGGATAATAACAATAGACACAATAATATAGTAGAATAATAATAATAAAGGATGTAATAATAATAATAATAATAATAATAATAATAATATGTTCTCCCCGATAATAATGATATAATATAATAAAAATATGTAGGACAATCAAAATATAGTAGAATAATAATAACAATATTGATAATAATAATAATTATCAGCCTTCGGGCTAATATGGGCAGGATAGAAATGACGTAAATAATTAAATAGAATATAATAATAATAATAAAGAACAATAGCAGCAAAATAATAATAATAGACATCATAATAATATAGTATAATAACAATAAATACAATAATATAGTAGAATAACACAATATTAATAGTAATAACAGTAATAATAATAATAATAATAATAATGGACATAATAATAATAATAACAGCAATAATAATAATAATGGAAATAATAGACACAATAATATAGTAGAATAATAATAATAATAATAATAATAATAATAATAATAATAAAGAACATACTAATAATATAGGATAGTAATAATAATAGACACAATAATATAGTAGAATAATAACATAATAATAATATTAATAATAATGGACATAATAATAATAATAATAATGGATAAAAATAATAGACACAATAATATAGTAGGACATAATAATAATAATATAGGATAATAATAGACACAATAATATAGAATAATAATAATAAAGGACATAATAATAATAGACAATAATATAGTAGAATAATAATAATGGACATAATAATAATATAGGATAATAATAACAGACACAATAATATAGTAGAATAATAACATAATAATATTAATAATAATGGACATAATAATAATATAGGATAATAATAATAATAGACACAATAATATAGAATAATAATAATAATGAAGGACATGACAATAATAATATAGGACAATAATAATAGACACAATAATATAGTAGAATAATAACATAATAATATTAATAATAAAGGACATAATAATAATATAATATAGGATAATAATAGACACAATAATATAGTAGAAAAATAACATAATAATAATAATAATATTAATAATAAAGGACATAATAATATAGGATAATAATAGACACAATAATATAGTAGAAAAATAACATAATAATATTAATAATAATGGACATAATAATAATATAGGATATTAATAATAATAGACACAATAATATAGAATAATAATAATAATAATAATAATAATAATAATAATAATGAAGGACGTGATAATAATAATATAGGATAATAATAATAGACACAACAATATAGAATATTAACATAATAACAATGGACATCACAATAATTACAATAATATAGATTAATAATAACATAATAATAGACATAATAATATAGGATAATAATAGATAAATTAATATAGAATAATAATAATAATAATAATAATAATAATAATAATATAGGATAATGATAATGACATGGGACATAATAGCAATATGTTGAAGTTGGGCCTTGATATTTTGCCTTTCTTTCTTTCAGGTTTGAGGAGAAAACCCCGGAGTTGAAATGCAGGACGATGTTTTTTTTATACTAAATGCGGAATTCTCTGAACGGGAGGTTTCTAGTCCTCAAGAGGCTCGGGAAAAGGACTTGTGTAAAAGTTTTACAAAACAGCTTTTGCTCTTCGTGTGTTTCAATAAACATTTTGTAGAAATCAGAGTGTTTGTCTTGGCTGGGAAAGGGGTCTCTGGGCTCACAATTCGGAGGTCTCTCCTTCATGGGGAAAGGAAGAAAGGGAAGGAGAGAAAAGGAAGGGAAAAAGGGAGAGGAGGAAAATGGAAGAAGGAGGAGGAGGAGAGAGAGGGGGAAGAGGGAAGAAGGAGAAGAGGAATAGAAGAAGGGAAGAAATGGGAAGAAAGGAAAAGATAGAAAGAAGGGAAGAAAAGGATAGAGAGAGAATGAGAAGAAGGGAAGAAAAGGAGAAAAGAAGAAGGAAAGAAGAAAGAGAGGAGGAGAGGAAGAAGGGAAGAAACAAGGAGGGAGACAAGAGAATGGGAAGAAAGAAGAAAGGAGAAGAGTAAAAGAAAAAGAAGAAAAGAAGAAGAGAATGGGAAGGAAGGAAGGGGAGGAGAAGAGGAAGAAGGGAAGAAAAGAAGGAGGGAGACAAGAGAATGGGAAGAAGGAAGAAAGAAAGAAGGGAATAGAGAAGGAAGAAAAGGGAAAGAAAGGAGAAGATAGAAGAGGGAAGAAAAGGAAGAGAGAATGAGAAGGAAGAAAGGAGAAAAGAAGAAGGGAAAAGGAAGAAGAGAGAGAATGGGAAAGGAAAGAAGGAGAAGAGAACAAGAAAAGGAAGAAAGAGAAGAAGAAAGAAGAGAAAGGAAGAAAAGTAGAAGAGAGAAGAGAAGGAAAGAAAGGAGAAAAGAAGAAGGGAAGAAAAGGAAGAAGAGAGGATGAGAAGAAGGAAGAAAGGAGAAGAGAAAAGGAAGGGGAAGAGAGAATGGGAAGAAAAGGAAGGAGAAACAGGAAGAAGGAAGAAAGGAGAGAATAGGAAAAAGGGAAGAAAAGTAGGAGGAGGATGGGAGAATGGGAAGAAGGAAGAAAGGAGGAGAAATTGGAGAAGGGAAGAAAAGGAGAAGAAACAGAGAATGGGAAGAAGGAAGAAGAAGACAGCAAGATGAGAAGAGAAGGTGAGAGAATGGGAAGAGAGAAGAAGGGAAGAAAAGGAGGGAGAACTGGAGGAAGAAAGAAAGGAGAAGAGAGGGAAGAATAGGATAAGAGGGAATTGGGAGAATGGAGGGAGGGGAAAAGAGAATGGAAGAAAGGAAGGGAAGGAAGAATGGAGTGTGGAAAGGGAAGGAGGAGGGCAATGGGAAAGAGGGGAAAGAGAGAGGAATGAAAGAAGGAAGGAAGCAGAGAAAGGAAAGGAGGAGGGTGGAGAGATCTCCCAATGGCCTGCCCTTCTTCCCTTCCTTCCATCCTTCCTTCCTTCCAAGGATTCAGGACCTTGGAGAGAAGCTCAAGCTGACTCTCCCAAGAACGGCCCAGACTGGCTCTGCTCTGAGGCTGAGAAAGTGTGACTCCATCATTTTCAATGCCCGAATGGGGACTGAAAAAGTGAGACAAAGCAGAAAGGAAGGAAGGAATGGAGAGAAGGAGAAAGAAAGAAAAAGAGGAAAGAGGAAGGAAGGAAGGAAGGAAGGAAGGAAGGAAGGAAGGAAGGAGAGGAAGGAAGGAAGGAAGGAAGGAAGGAAGGAAGGAAGGAAGAGAAAAGGAAAGGGAAGGAAGGAAGAAGGAAAAAGGAAAGGAAGGAAGAAGAAAGGAAGGGAGGGAAAAAGGAAGGAAAGAAGAAAGAAATGAAAAAGAAGTGAGAAAAGGGGAAAGGAAAGGAAGGAAGGAAGGAGGAAAAAAAGAGAGGAAAGGAGGAGATGGAAAGAAAGAAGGAAGGAGGAAAAGAAGTGAAAAGGAAGGAAGGAAAGAAGGAAAGAAGAAAGGAAAAGGAAAAGAAGGGAAAGGAAAAGGAGGGGAAGGAAGGAAGGGAGAAAGAGAAAGGAAAGGAAAAAGAAGAGAAGTGAAAGGGAATGGGAGGGAAAGGAAGGAATGAAAGAAAAAAACAGAAATGAAAGAGGAGAGAAGGAAAGGAAAGAAGGAAGGAGGAGGGAACGAAGGGAAGGAAGAGAAGGAAAGAAGGAGGGACAGGAAGGAAGGAAAGGAAGAAGGAAGGAAGGAAGGAAGGAAGGAAGGAAGGAAGGAAGGAAAGAAGAAAGGAAAGAAGGAAGGAGGAAGAGGAAGGAAGGAAGGGGAAGGAAGGAGTGAAGGAAGGAAAGAAGTAAGTGATCAGGGACTGAGGGAGGAAGAAAGAAGTTAAGGAAGGAAGGAAGGAAAGAAGGAGAAATAAGGGAAAGAGAAGGGAGGGAATGGAAGGAAGGAAGGAAGAAGAAGGGAGGAGGGAAAGGAAGGCAAAGGAAGGAAGGAAATGAAACAAAAGTGAAAGAGAAGGGATGGAATGGAAGGAGGGAAAGAAGGAAGGAAGGAAGAGAAGTGTGAGGGAGGGAAAGGAAGGAAACAGAAGTGAAAGAGAAGGGAGGGAATGGAAGGAAGGCAAGAAAGAAAAGGAAGGAAGAAAGAGGAAAGGGAAGGAAGGAAGGAAAGGAAGGCAATGGAAGGAAGGCAAGAAGGAAGGAAGGAAGGAAGGAAAGAAGGAAGGAAGAGAAGTGTGAAGGAGGGAAAGGAAGGAAGGAAATGAAACAGAAGTGAAAGAGAAGGGAGGGAATGGAAGGAGGGCAAGATGGAAGGAAAGAAGGAAGGAAGGAAGGAAAGAAAGAAAGAAGAAAGCAAGAGAAGTGCGAGGGAGGGAAAAGAAGGAAACAGAAGTGAAAGAGAAGGGAGGGAATGGAAGGAAGGCAAGGAGGGAGGAAGTCAAGAAGGGAAAGAAAGGAAAGAAAGAAAGGGAGGAAGGAAGGAAGGAGAAAGAAAGGAAGGAAAGAAGGAAAGGAAAGGGGAAAAGAGAAAGGAAAGGAAGAAGAGGGGGAAAGGAAAGGAAAGAGAAGGGAGGGGGGGAGGGAGGCAGGCGAGAGGGGCCGAGGCGGCCATATATAGGAAGGCGGTCTGGATCCGCGTGCCCCTCGAGGGTCCCATGAAGTCACCGGCGTGTGACTGGGCGTGCGACACCTCGGAAAGGGAATCTCTGGGGCTGGAATGCGGCCGGGCAGATAACCCCGGACCCCCGAAGAAGGGATATAAGGAGAGGAGAGAAGAGAAGAGGGCAAACGGATAGGAAGGAAGGAAGAAGGAAGGAAGGAAGGCGCTCCAGCACACCAAGGAGACTTCACACCACCCACAGCCATGGAAGCCAAGCCCGGGACTCTTCTCTTCCTTGTGCTCCTCTTCTCCTTGGTCATCTCTTTCCAGAGCCCGGCAGCCGCCCACCCGGTCAGCGGCCTGAGTCCGGCCAAGGAGCTGGCCAGCATGGAGGTAAGGAACGCCTGGGACACTTCGGCCCTCTTCGCCTTCGGGATGCTCTTGGGAAGGGTAGAATGAGACAGAGACAGGAAAGAAGGAAGGAAGAAAAGAAGCAGGAAGGAAGGGCAGAAAGAGGGGAAAGAGAGAGAAAAAGAAGGAGACAAAGGAAGAAAGGAAGGATAGAAAGAGAGGAAAGCTAGAGAAAGAAGGAAAGAAGAAAGAGAGAAAGAAGAAGGAATAAGGGAGAGAGAAAAAGGAAGGAAAGCATGAAGGAAGGGCAGAAAGAGAGGAAAGAGAGAAAAGAAGGAGAAAAGGGGAGACAGAAAACGGAGGGAAGGAAGGATAGAAAGAAGAAAAGAGAGAGAAAAAGAAGAAGGAAGGAAGGGAGGAAAGAGAGTAAAAGGAGAGGAAGAGGAAGGATTAAGGGAGAGAGAGAAAGGAAGGAAACCATGAAGGAAAGGCGAAAGAGAGGAAAGAGAGAGAAAGAAGGAAAGAAGAGAGGAAAGAGAGAAAGAAGAAGGAATAAGGGAGAGAGAAAAAGGAAGGAAAGCATGAAGGAAGGGCAGAAAGAGAGGAAAGAGAGAAAAGAAGGAGAAAAGGGGAGACAGAAAACGGAGGGAAGGAAGGATAGAAAGAAGAAAAGAGAGAGAAAAAGAAGAAGGAAGGAAGGGAGGAAAGAGAGTAAAAGGAGAGGAAGAGGAAGGATTAAGGGAGAGAGAGAAAGGAAGGAAACCATGAAGGAAAGGCAGAAAGAGAGGAAAGAGAGAGAAAAAGAAGGAGAAAAGGGAGAGAGAAAAAGGAAGAAAGGAAGGATAGAAAGAGAGAAAAGAAGAGAGAAAAAGGAGAGTAAGGGAGAGAGAAAAAGGAAGAAAGGAAGCATAGAAAGAGAGGAAAGAAAGAGAGGAAGAGAGGAAGGAAGGAAGGAAGGAAGGAAGGAAGAAAGGAAGGAAGGTAGAGAGGAAAGAGAGAAAAAGAAGGAGAGAAAGTGGAATAAGGGAGAGAGAAAAAGGAAGAAAGGAAGCATAGAAAGAGAGAGAAAAGGGAGAAAAAAGAAGGAGAAAAAGAAAGAAAGGAAGGATAGAAAGAGAGGAAAGAGAGAGAAGAAAAGAGAGGGAAGGAAAGAAGGAAGGAAGGAAGGAAGGAAGAGGAAAAGAGAAAAAGGAGAGAAAGGGAAGGAAAAGAGGAGAGAAAAAGAAAGGAAAGATGAAGGAGGGAGGAAAGAGGGAAAGAGAGAAAAGGAGAAAAAGGAAGAAAGGAAGGATAGAAAGAGAAGAAAGAGACAAAAAGAAGAAGAAAGGAAGAAAGGAAGGAAGAAAACAGAAAAAGGAGAGAAAGAGGAGGGAAGGAAAGCATGAAGGAAAGGTAGAAAGAGAGGAGAGAGAGAAAAAGAAGAAGAGAGGAAGGAAAGAAGGAAGGAAGGAAGGAGGGAGGAAAGAAAAAGGAGAGAAAGAGGAAGGAAGGAAAGCATAAGAGAGAAAGAGAGAGGAAAAAGAAGAGGGGAAAGGAAGGAAGAGCGGAAGAGGAAAGAAGGAAGAGAGAGGGATGAAGGGAGAGAAAAAGATAAGAGGGGAGGAGGAAAGAAGGAGAAGGAGAGGAGGAAGGAAGGAAAAGAAAAAGAAAAGGGATAATGAAAAGAAGAAGGAAAGAACAGGAAAGGAAGGAGAAAGAGAGAAAAAGAAGAAGAGGGAAGAGGAAAAAAGAGAAAGAGAGAGAAAGGGAGAGAAGAGAAGGAAGGAAGAAAGAAAAGGGGAGAGAGGAAGAAGGGAAGGGGAAGAAGAAGAGATGAAAGGAAGGAGGATGAGAAAGGAAAAGAAGGAAAAGAAGGAAAAAAGGAAGGAAAGCAAGAAAATGGGAGAGAGAGAAAGGAAGGAAGGAAAGCAGAAAGGAAGGAAGAAGGGAAGGGGAAGAAGAAGAAGAAAAGAAGGAAGGAGAAGACGAGAAAGAAAAA